CCCTACACTACACCTTCCATATTCAGAGAGGAGCTGAGCAGTTGTGCTGTGCACTAGTTGCTTTAATAGCTGTCTGGTTTATCACAGTCAGCAAGGGCAGAGTTGGTTCCTTCCTGGAACACTCCCCCAGATATTTTTTTAATAAATAAATTTTTATTTAAATTAAAAACAATCTTATTTTATATACCAATCCCAGTTCCCTCTCCCTCCTGGCCTCCCATGCCCCCCCCAACCCCCTATCCCACCCCCAATCCACTCCCCAGAGAGGGTGAGACCTCCCATGAGGGATCACCCCAGCTCTTTGTAAGAAGCCGAAATCCCTTCCTCCTTTGAGAGTCCTCTGTTTATCGGATGTCAACTCCTCTTCCTGTGGGAAGGCCTAGGATGTTTATTTGCTGGAATTTTGGGCAGGTAGCATATTGTGGTATCAGAGGACTGTTTGCCAAAGTGTGGTTTCAGAGTTTAAAAAAAAAAAATGTTTGAGTGAAAAAATAAATATTTAGGATAGGCTCTGTGTCAATTTCTTGGACACTTTCAACACATATTGATAAATTAAAAGTCTGAGAAATGTTGCACTTTAAGTCAATTTTGCTTGATTCAATGAGTCTTCAAACTTTTTCTCCTGTGAACTCTCCTTAGTAAAACATTGATCTTTCTTTCTTTCTTTCTTTTCTTTTCTTTCTTTCTTTCCTTCTTCTTTCCTTTCTTTCTTTCTTTCTTTCTTTCTTTTCTTTCTTTCTTTCTTTCCTTCTTCTTTCTTTTTTTTTTTTTTCAACATGCAATTTTTGGGGAAACCTATCCACACAAATTAACATGTAAAACATTTCTGTTGGTTATGTGGTTACATTGAGGACTATTGAAACATTAGCAGAAAATACTGTGCAAAATGACCGTGGTATGGAATTCTGGAAGGTTCGATTGGATTATGTCCCCTTAATGGGAATGCAGTAGAATCTCTTTTGTCTCCTGCTGGGGCATAATTCAAGGTCATCGGGTGTCTTTACCCCTGTGGTGGGCCAGAGCTAGCTTTATCATTTTGTTCTCTGTGGTACTGAGCCCTGATTGTACTGTCAACACAATCAGTGCTTCCTGTTGAAGTTTTTAAAATCAATTTGAGGGAGTCAATTTTCCTCCATACCAACTGAATGAGAAGGTATTGCTGCTCTGGAAGGTACAGTGTCTAGGGAACAGTTTATTAAAGAAGATGGTCACTAGCTTTCATCGTATACATACCTCAGAATGACAAGGCCTGGCCTGTTAAGAAAATACATCCCTTTAGCAAATGTCTCTATGAAAACTCATAGTGAAACACATATAAAGCTTGGCATGCTATCATTTCTGACCATCCGACGGCACCTCCTGTGCTTGAGCATTTGATGTGTGCAGCGTTTCAACATGAGCTTTTTGTGACTGTCCCTACTCTTCTGTTGTTACTACCCTGTGGTGAGAATCATGTGTGTCTGAAGTAAGGGATGTGTGTAAATCAGAGTGTCATCACAGCCCCAGGTACTGAGGAGGAGAGAAACTTGGCTGAACATTCCCTGTGAGAAGCAGAAGAAAATACCTAGATCAATATTCTAGCAGGCAGAGACCACACTGGCCAGACAAGATACAAGTTAAGATGTCCCCTTGTCCTGAACTTGTTTTCTTTTAAAAAGTAGGTTTGCATAGTTTATTGAGTTTTACGTTGCTAAATTCAACAGAAGCAAGAGAAAGGGCTTACTTGTGCTAAATTAGGTAGCAGCCTCGACAGAGCATTTACCTACAGGATTTGATTAAACTCTCAGTTCAGGAGGGATTATGTACCCCTTTCTTTTGTTTGAATGCAGCAGAGGCTTTGGGCAATGAACATATTTACCGTGATCAAAGTGATAGATGTGCCATCAATTGTGAAAGGTTCCAAATTTAACATGTTTTCTGTCATGTGTGCTGCCTTTGAATTGGCCTTATCCACACAGTTCAGACTTGGTGAATTACAATTTATCATAGGACAAGGAAATGTTTTGTTCTGGTTGCTCTAGCATGCCCTGTGTGGTAGGTGACCATCTAGAATCTCCTGGGTGGTAGGTGACCATGTGAAGAGATCGATCCGAAGTCTGTAAGGCTAAGGTTTCTTTATTCAGATAAACACTAGCCAAGCGCAAGCCAAAGCATGCTCAGAGCTCGCAAGCTAGAGTGGCCAGAGAGAGAGCTTATCCACGTGTCCACCATCCCTTAAGAACTGTTCCTGCATCACCTTAGATTTCCCCTCAACACGCCCTCATGGGCGTGTCCCAGCACACCTCCTAGGAGGCGGGGCTACAGTGTCTACCTACAATTCCCCTTTTAGTCTAAAAGAGGATTAGAACTTAATAGTGTAAAACATCCAAAATTAACAATCATAAAGGTGAAATATAAGAAGATACAATAATCTGTTATTACACATCCTAACTATGTCTATTCTGGCTAAGCCCTAAAGTCATGTGGAAAGGGTGTCTAACTTGAATACCTCCTTCAAATCCCAACTCTAAACAATAAACAGTACCCTAATAAACAATAATGTGGAACGGGGGCATAGCATCTTCTAAGTTACTTCCTGCTGAAATGGGACAATGGCAGCCTTGTGGGGTCCTGTGGAAAAAAAATGTTAGCACAGGGCAAGTCTCTATTGGGTTATCTCCAGTCCATGTTGGATGGGATTTGCTTGATTGAAGATCTAGGTTGAAATCCTCAACTTGATTGAAGTCAGTACTCAAGGCTCTGGTCAGAGTGTCAGTCGAAATGGAGTGAGTTGAATCCAGTGCAGTCGGAGAGGTATGGCCCAATTCTTTTTCCGGAGCATGCATGGATTGTCGTCAGGCAGGTCTTCATTGGCTGAATGGGACTCAAACATAAGTGTCAGCAGAGAAATGTTTGCTTGCACATGTATGTGTACTGGGAAAGGAAACTACTGAAAAACAACAATTATAAGAGGGTGTAGGCCTTGAAAGAAAGAGCCAAGAAAAGACAAAGATAGTCCTCCAATTCTTCATTTATTCTGTATTACATCAATTGGTTTCTTGATATAACAAAGACACTTTAAAATTTTGTTAAATAACATGCTTGGATTTTAGGGGAGGAAAGCCAAATCCAACTCTAAATCCAGCATCTATTTAATTGAATAGGGACTAGGAAATGAAGAGAAATAGTTATTTGAGAGACAGCTGTAAAGTTTACCGTATGGCATGTTCCTTTGGTTTGATGTTTATAGCTACCTTCTTTCCTTTAAGTATCTACCCATGCAGTGTCCTTTGACTTCCAGAGGTGGGTTTTCCCGTGAGGATAAAAACAGGTCTACAGTGTCTCCCTACAGACCATGTAGCATGCCCTGGGTGGTAGGCAACCATCACAGCATCACTGTAAATACTTCCAGTTGCTTACTGCATCACTTCTCTAATTTTGTCTGGTGTGTAAGCCTATTGTTAAGTATTTACTGAATGAGATTATTCCCAACCACCTAGAACAATCTCAGTTTCACAACAGAGAGGTAGTTTTGGAAAATTAGGACAACTTGAGAATTTTCTTACTTTGCTATTCAAGGAAGGCTGTGTCTATAACCTGGGCTTTCCTTAGCATGGGTTCACTGCATTAGCATCTCCAGGGAGCATCCCAGAAGGGATACTGATTTGCTTGATCTGAGGTTTTTTTTTTTTTTTTGCATAGCTGCCCAGATAATTCAATGTGTGGACTCTGGACCAGAAGTAGCTCATGTCTTTTGTTGCCAATGCTCTAGAGACTTTGTACTGGGTGACCATCTCAGAGAACAGTTGAAGAAGGGGCTGCATATACTGGCACAGGGCAGGTGTTCATAGATGTATATGTTGTTTAAAAGCCCCAAAGAGCTAGAGAGATGGCTTAGCAGGAAAGAGTACTCATTGTTCTTGAAGAGGGCCCAGATTTGATTCCCAGCACCTGAATCATGGCTTACAACCAGCCATCACTCCGGTTTCAGGGGTATTGGATGCCCTTTCCTGAATTCTAAGGGAACCAAACATGCATATGGTGCAGAGACATGTGGTAGCTAACAACTGACACACATAAAATCTGAAACCAAAAACAAGCCCCAAAGAAAATAGTTCCCTTACTTTGGTTCAGGACGCTGTCCTATCCAAAAATAAATCAGGCCTGACCCTGCTAGCTTCCAACATCAGTTGAGATTGGGCTTGCTCACAGTGGTGTGACTGTATACTCTTTGGCACATGAAATCAATCAAATACTTTTGGAAACCATTTGCTCTGAACTTTGGGTAAATTTCACCACATGAAATCAATCAAATACTTTTGGAAACCATTTGCTCTGAACTTTG